GAAGTGGACTGTTCCCATAGCACGTGACTCAGGGCTGAGCCAGAAGAGGCAGTTAGTAAACCTTCAGCAATGAGTGTTCACGTACTGGAGTTCTGAGCAAGATTCAATCTGAAAAAAAGAGTTTCCCTAATTTAAGGAAACAAAAATGGAAAATCCCAGCACCAAATGATGGGTTTGTAGATGATGCCCACTCTGAAATGTTTTTCTAGGGTCTGCTGTACTGCACACTGCCCCAAGAACATTTCCTTGCATCAACTGGCTTCTGGGTTCAGGCTGTGGCTCCTGAGGGTGGGACCATATGCTGGATTTCCATGTAGCAGACATCCAGATGAGGGCTTTGCACTAAAGAAACGCTAGAAAAAAGCCTGGTGAGCGGGAGTGAGTGCACGCTGGCCTTCAAGCCTTCTATGGCAGTTGCCACTCTAGCAATCAACACTACAGCAGAGGCTGAGCACCACCAGTTCCTACCTGGCCCAACCATGGGTTTAGTTTGGCATACATTTTTAAAAAGGAAAAATTGTGTTAAAAATTTGAGCTCACTTGAAAGTTGAGGAGAGGGGTTCTGCACAAAAACCTGCATTTCTGGCTTACTAGGCATTCTCACTGGCAGTAATGTGTGGGAGCTGAGATGGCTCTCTTTAGAAAGCACATGTGCTCTTCAATTTGCTGCAGTCCTCACCACTCCCTAATGTCTAACACCTGGTCCTTTTTTTTTTTTCTCACTAGTGTTAACTGGTTTCTGTAGGTGTCTAAGTTTGCCATTTCTTCTACAGGAGGATTCCCTTCTCCTTCCCTGGGAGATAATATATTAAAGCCACTACTCACAGTACTTAAAAAGATGTTATGAAACACCAAAGGAATTTCAACAAGCCTTTTGGAGACACTCACAAAACTGTAACAGTGTGTAACTTTACACATTATCACTCACAGATCAGATATTGATTAAAGTAATTGTTTTTACTTAATAGGAAGAAAAAATAAATGTGAAACATATTTAAAGCAAAAGTACACACAAAGTCCTTAAAATACGTCACCGCAAACATTCAAATGATGGTGATTTCATTAAAAAATAAATACCACGCTGGAGAAGGCAGACAGGGCAAAGGATGGAGTGAACGGAAGTGAAGCGAGACCTTCAGGATCACTGACTGGTGTGGGGCTTGCTCGCTTTACCCTCAGGCCACTCATCCTTTGCTAATCAACAGGAACAGGTGTCTTTCTGCATAAACCGGGGGTTGGCAAACGACAAGACTATGGACCATATCAGGCCCACTGCCTGTTTCTGCAAACAAAGTTTTAATTGAAATACACATGTGGAAATACACATTCACTCAACTGTGTATTGTCCATGGCGGCTTTTGGGCTACAAGGCAGAACTGAGCAGCTGCAACAGAGAACTGTGGTCTGCAGAGCTGAAAAATATTTACTATCTGGCCCTTCGCTGAAAAACTTTGCTTATCTCTGGCTTAAACAATCATCGCCACCGTTTTCAAATTTGAATTGCCTGAAATTCTGAAGAAAGTGTCTTTTTAGCTTTCAGAAGAAGTGGGCCTTCCCACTGAGCTGAAGGTGATAAGGGAAAAGCTAGGATTTACCAGTTGAGTTTCAGGAGGAAGTCTTTTTTTTTTTTTTTTTTTTTAAATAGAGACAGAGGCTTATTCTATCATCCAGGCTGGAGTGCAGTGGCTTGACCTCGGTTCACTGCAGCCTCTGCCTTTCGGGCTCAAGTGATCTCCCACCTCAGCCTCCTGAATGGCTGGGACTACAGGCATGAGCCACTATGCCATGCTAATTGTTACATTTTTTTTTCTAGAGATGGGGTTTCGCCATGTTGCCCAGGCTGGTCTTGAACTTCCGGATTTCAGTGAGCCACTCTCCTTGGCCTCCCAAAGTGCTGGGATTACAGGAGTGAGCCACTGCACCCAGCCATCTGGAGATCATTTTTAATGGCAGCTACTTGGGGACCGGTAGCTTTAATGTCCACAGACAATAGCAAAGGAAAGGGTTGTGACGGGTCTTCTCACAGTCGCCATCATTGTGTGGTATCTGGGAAGCTAACAGCTCCTATTTGTCAATGACAGTAACGGGGTCTCCACAGTCACGCCACCTTTAGCATTAAGGATGATCATTAGTTCCACTTTACAAATGAGTACCCGAGGCCAAGACTTACCTGAGGACCCTGAGTGAGTAAGGGACAGAGACGACTGGGTTGATGTGACTCCCAAAGCCACTCTGCCAAGATTGAAGATGCTCTCAGATTTCTGTAGGGTAGAAGCTGAAGACCCACACACCTCATACCTGGAATGGGGAGCCCCCAAGTTTACCATCCATTTCTTATCCCCATTCTCTGGAATCTGGAACCTGACTCCAATGACAGTAACTCATTTCCACTTCCCCGGGGAGTTCCAGTCCCTTCCTCTCTCTTATCTCTTAACCTGTGAATACTCCCAGCCTGAGCTCTCTGCAGCCGTATTTTTTCAGGAATGTGGTCAAACAAATGTTTAAGATGAGCAGACTGAGAATGCTACTCTGCCAGAGCCCGCAGTCCAGAGGCTAAACATTCAAGCCTGAAAACCAATTCCAAGTCCACCTTCTGTCTTTGGAGAAAGCACACTGGCCCACGTCACCGCGACCACTGCCTCCTAACTGGGCTTCATTGGTCCATGCTTGCCTTCCCTATATAATGTCCATGCAGAGGCCTGAGTGCTCTTTCAAAAAATTAATCAAGTAACTCTCCAGCTGAAATCTACCACTGGTTTCTCATTTCTAGTAGAACGAAATCTTCAGCGTGGCCAGCCAGCACCTTTCCAGAGCACCTCTGTCAATCCCTAAATCCATCTGCTCCTCTCTCCCTCACTGTCTCTGGTTTACCACATTGGCCTTCTGATAGCTCCTCAACAGATCCAAATTAATCCCCACAGCAGGTCTCTGGACTTATCAAAGTGGCCTATGACTTATCAAAGTGGCCCAGGTTAACTACGTCAAATTATTAGTGTGGATCACCCCACCACAAGCCTGTTTTAATTACAAACTAGGTAATGTTGAAAGCAGAGTTTGACAGGAGGAGGAGGAAATATAATCAAGATCTGCAGGCGTGATGAAATCATGTTTGCCACATTAGCCATGTTACCCAAAGAATCAAGGAACAACTAATCTGTAAGAGGTTTGGAAGGTTTAACTGTCACAGAGAAGACAACTGTCAGAGTAAGCATACGACAACCAATTTTTTTATTGCTTTCCTTCTCTCTCTCTCTTTTTAGGGGAAGGAGGGTACAGAGAGGAGGAGTTAGTTTCCTAAGAGTTTTAAACGTCAGGTCTCTGGACCTGCTGTTCCTGCAGACCAGAATGCCCTTCCCTGGATCTTTCCATGGCTGTCTCCTTCTCACCACTTGGATCTCTGCTCAGAGGTCATCCTTGGCCACTCAGGGCTATGCTGTCCTTCCGCTCCTGGACCCTAGCAATGAAGGCTGCTTAAAGGTATGCATTTGTTTACTGGCATAGTCTCAAGCTCCCCTTCTAGAACGCAAACCCAATAGAGGAGAAGGCTGTCTTGACCTATGTTCTACTTCCAAAGCCCAGTCCGGTGCCTCTTCTAGAGTGGGCATTCCATACATGTTTCTTCAGTATCTTCAAATGCAAAAAATTCAACTGTTTCAACGTAATTCCTAGAGGGAACGCCACTGTGCAAAAAGAAACAGGTTCCCAAGTGGCCCCATATTTCCTTCACTCAATTCCACCAAAGGCTACTCTGTACCTTTCCCCCAAAGCACAGCAAAACTGAGCAATACCCACAGGAGACCCCCACTTCAAAAAATTAGTTCATACCAGCTTTAAGAGGAAAGTAATTCAAAACATGAAAATTTATTCTAAGTTGTATCTTAACATACGAGATCTCAGCTTTAGATGAATTTTAATGTTTACAAGTGCAAAAGCAAATAAATATTTACCAGTTGCTTTTTTTTTTTTGCACTCTTATAACTCCACAACAGCTTAGACGCAAAAAAAATTGTTGCTAAACATCTTGTAGTCTGGCAAAATGAAGAATTTCTTATTAAGAAAAGCCCTCACAACAATAACTCTTCATGCTTACGGCTCCCTTGCAGAAACTATCAGGATGGTTCATTAAGATTGAAGCATATGACAGAGCAACAAAATTGCCACCAGTAGGGGTGAGATGAGGATCTCATGCGCTGGCCTCACTGTCTATACACTGGCTCATTCCCACAGCAACGGGAGCTCCGGGAGAGAGGGCCGTATTTCTTGGGCAAGGACCACGGGCTAATACCAGCTCTCCCCACGCTGAAGCTTCTCATTCTGCAGGTTTCCATGAACGTGTCACTTCTCCAGAGTGGCCTTTCTTAGTTAAGGCAGGTCCCTGTGCTGTCCATAATTCCCTTGGACAATATCCTGTTTATTTCCTCTACTACCATTTCACAATCGGAAACTTCAGTTAGCTAGTCTTCCGGCTTGCCAGTTAACCATCTAGCTTGCCGGCTTTCTAATGTTCCTGCTACCTAACTTCCGGGCATACGCTCCAGCTAGCTGCTCTGTCATCTCTCTGTCTTCCCCTTTACACTTGCTAGGCAGGGACCAGGCTCCGCTGGGACAGCACCCAGCCCAGTGCCTGGCACCAAACTAGCCATCTGTAGATACATGATACAATGAACATGCAAGGACATCTTAATAAATTAATTCTTAAAATCTCTAGCTTTTTAATTCACTTATATCAGTGCCTGGTTGAAGTCTTTGGAGTCATTCTAAGGCAAGAAAACAAATATCAAAGAAAGACTTACTCCAGCCTAAGAGAGTAGGCTTTTGGAGTAACACAGGGACACACACACACACACATTCACACGCGTGCACCTTTTCCATGATGGACATACGTAATTCTAAGAATATTAAGTACTTTCTGAAGCTTCACCTCCTACTCCCAATTTCTTGAAAAAAGGTACTACTGTTCACAGCAGCGGGTACCCTTAGAGAAGGCCGGCGCCACTCACCTGGATTAACAGTGATAAATCTGCTATCTTCAGAAAATCGGTCCCCGCGGGACACAGGCTTTTTAGATGGCATCTCGGGCCTCTTGGGATCACTCCTTTCATACTGCTCCTCTGTGGCGGTGGGGGGCACTTGGGTGGTGACCGCATCAGGGTCCAGGCCTGGGCCGGCATCCCTCCTTCCGCCTGTCTGGTCTGTGGGGATGGCAGTGTGGTCCTGCTCATGCCCAGGTGTAGTCTGATGCCCCCCCTCGGCAGTCCTGTTGGGAGACGAGGGTGCGGGGCTGGGCTCCGTCTGGCTCCGCTCCCCAGCAGTGCGGGCCACCCCGCTCTTCTCCTTCTTTTCGGAGTCCTTCTCTCCATCCTCCTCGTGCTCCCGCTCCCCGTCCTCACTCTCGCTTTTCTCATCCTTCTCTCCTTCCTCCGTGCCCTCGCTGTCCTTGCTTGGTGACGAATCACCATCTGGCCCCGGAGAAGCCAAGGCCTCTGTGGCGGCGAGGACTGGCCTGGCCGCCTGCTTGCTGGCCGAGGCGGCTGTCGGGAGGCGCGTGGGCCACACGGTGCTGGGGAAGGAGGAGATGCCACCACCGCCGAACCCCAGGCCAGCAAGGAGTGTGCTGGTGACCACTGAGGCCATGGTGGCCTGGCTGCCACTGGAGGAGGGGCCCATCCCAGTCGCCATGGAAACAAATGAGAAGGGGATGCCAGAGGACGTCCAGGTAGAAGACCCCGAGCTGATGGGGGCCATGTCGGCTGAAGAGGCAGGAGACGCTGTGGGCTGAGAAGGGTCACCCGGCAAGGGTGGCAAAGAAGCAGAAGAAGAAAAAGCAGAGAAGCGTGGGTATTAAGGTCGGGAAGGAGGCTCTGCTTATCACCCTCTGAGGATTTCACTCATCTACGCTATGCAGTTTTCCCACATATGGCATAAAGTCGACATTAGGTGGTCCATGGGTGACCAAGTTTTCTTTTAATGGTTTTATAATAATTGTGAACATGTTAAAAAGCATAACTAGCGAATCCAACTCAGCTTTACACCGATATTACCCAAGATGAGGCCGAGTGCCAAAACACGTTAGTAATGTTAAAGCTGACGCACACAACAAAGGAGTCATGAACTGGAAACATCAGATGATCATCTGTTCTTGGGGTGAGGAGAGGCAGAAGACCTTTGGTTTTATGTGTATCACTGATACTTGAGGAGATACTCCGCCCTAGGTTTGAAAAGATACTGGGCGATCCAGTCCAACCCCACTGTCTTCCAGTGAGGAAGTGGGTGGACCAGGAGGGAAAGCAGCCTGCCCAGGTGTGCAGTGACGGGGTCGGAGGCCATGCTCTGCACTGCATGCTCTGGGCACTGGTTTCCATTTCTGCATCTCCATCATGGGCATTGTAGAGTCAGTGTACCTGGCAATCTCTAGGTTTAGCCATGGGAAAATCTGAGCCCATACAGATGACAACAACATCAAGAATAACAAGAGCTCCGATTAACGGGTGCCAGCTGTCCTAGGGCTCCCCATGTTCGAGGCGGGCATGATCATCATCCCATTTTGCAGGTGAGAAAACTGAGGCACAGAGATGTTAAAGAGCTTACACAAGGTGCATGGCCTGGAAGGGACAAATGCAGGGCTGCCTGGGTCCAAGACTCGGCTCGTTCTTACCACCATACTAAACTGGGGCTCAAATTTGGGGGTTTTACTCATATAAGGTATCTTAGGAAAACGAGAAGTGCGGCTCTGAGCTATTAGTCTAATTTTGGCTTGCTCTCTGGGTGATGCTGGACACATGACTTTAACTCACTGAGCCTCGGTTTCCTCATCTTCAAAATCGGAATAATAGTAACACTGACTCTGTGGACTGCCTGGAGAAGTAAATAAAATAATCTGTGCCTGAAACCCTGGAAGAGCTTAGTGAATTTTAGGCTATTATTGTCACCACCACTGTGATTAGTATTTTAATTATTCATTATACCAACCAGGACTGGGGAAAACTAAGATACTAAATCCGGTTCCAGAAATTTTCAGATCCCTATAACTTCAGGCAAGTGACCATCTGAATTTGAGCATATGTCAAATGAAGAGGCTGGAACAGATTTAACCCCTTTGGGGTCCTACATTGTACGATCCCACAAATCATAAATAAATAAAAATATGAAGAATTTTTACCCTCACAAAATTATACAGTGTAACTCTCTAACACTGTTGCACAACTTGGGTTCATAAGGTACTGAATTCTAAAAAGTGAATAATGTAATATTCTTCTCTACCGCAACCTCTTCACAGTGAGCAGTTTAATAACATTATACTGCCACCTCGTGGTAATAGTTTTAAATGCATGCAAATTAACAACCAGCCACCACAAAGCAATTTACCATTCTCTACTTACCACTCCTGTTTTCACTATTCTGGTCCCTTGGAATATTCGAGTGGTATTAGCTGAGAAACAAAGAGATTACATTTAAGCAATTTTGAAACAAATTGAGAAAAAAAGAGATTACACAAAGCATTTTTTTGTGTGGGCTCCAACAAGACATTCCTTATGAACACAAATCTGAATTACAGATAATTTTCACGTGTCAAAATATTATTCTGTAGATTTTTTTCCAGCCATTTAAAAATGTAAAACGCTTCTTGGCTTGTGAGTCATACGAAAACATGCAGAGAGCTAGTTTTCGTCTATGGGCAGTAGCATGCTGACCCATCTTAAGCTATTAGTTAAAAAATTATTTTTCAATTTTTATTGTTTTCTGTTTCATTGAGGTAAACTTACAGTAAAATGAGTAAGATTTAGGTGTATAGTTAAGTGAATTTTGCATATGTAAACACCTGTGTAACCACTCCCCATGGTAAGATAAAGACATTCCCCAGTGCTTTGCGGAAGAAAAGGTGTGCCTGTCCCCTCATCTATCAATATCCACCTCCACCCCCAAAGCTAACCACTCTTTGGGCCTCTGTCAGTTTTACCTGTATTTGAACTTCGTTTAAATGGAATCATATTACACTATTGTTCCTCCTCCATTATCTTTTTGGTCATGATTTCTTATCCTTTCTGTGATTCTAATTACACGTCCTTAACTTTCTGTTTACCTTACATTGATAACTTTCACCACTTCTTAAAAATGTTTAAGAACTGTACAATAATTTAACTCTATTTGCCCACCTTACCTTTTGTGTGCTGTTATAGTATTATTCCTACCTATATTTTAAAATCCTGTGAGATGCTGCCAGTTGTTCTACAGTCCAGTGATTTTATATTAACCATACACTACCCTTTCTGGTGTTCATTTCTTCCTGTAGCTCTGTTTCCTATGTGTTATGATTACACAATATAACTTAGAAAACATTTTTTAAGATTATGGTAAAATACATGACACAATTTACCATCTTAAAAATTTTAAAACTTACCATCTTATCCCTTTTTTTTTTTGAAACAGAGTTTCGTTCTGTTGCCAGGCTGGAGTGCAGTGGTGCGATTTGGCTCACTGCAACCTCCGCCTCCTGGGTTAAAGCAATTCTGCCTCTCAGCCTCCCAAGCAGCTGGGACTACAGGCGTGTGCCACCATGCCCAGCTAATTTTTATACATTTTTTAGTAGAGACGGGTTTTCACCATGAGACCAGGATGGTCTCCATCTCTTGACCTCACGATCTGCCCACCTCAGCCTCCCAAAGTGCTGGGATTACAGGCATGAGCCACCGCACCCAGCCCGTCTTAACCATTTTTAAGGGTATGGTTCAGTAGCGTTAAGGTTGTTCCCACTGTTGTATTACTTCTATCCATCTCCAGAACTTTGTCATCTTGCAAAACTGAAACTCTCCATGCATTCAAGAACCCATTTCTTCCCTCCCTCAATCCTGGCAACCACCACGGTACTTTCTCTATGAATTTCACTGCTCTGGATACTTAAGGTAAGTGGAATCATACCTAGTTGTCCTTTTGTGTCTCACTTATTTTGCTTAGCGTAATGTCCTCAAGCTTCATCCACCTTGCAGCGTGTGTCGGAATTCCCTTCCTTTCTGAGGCTGAATAATACTCCATTGTGTGTATACAGCACACTTCGTTTATCGCTTCATCAGTCAGTGCACACCTGGGTTGCTTTCACCTTTCGGCTATTGCAAATAATGCTAAACAATATGACTTTTTTAAAACCCCATCAAACTTCCTGGTTCTTTAAAAAAAAATGATAGTGCTATAAAAATGAAATGCTCACTTAGGGAGGCCGAGGCGGGTGGATCACGAGGTCAAGAGATCGAGACCATCCCGGTCAACATAGTGAAACCCCGTCTCTACTAAAAATACAAAAAAATTAGCTGGGCATGGTGGCACGTGCCTGTAATCCCAGCTACTCAGGAGGCTGAGGCAGGAGAATTGCCTGAACCCAGGAGGCGGAGGTTGCAGTGAGCCGAGATCGCGCCATTGTACTCCAGCCTGGGTAACAAGAGTGAAACTCTGTCTCAAAAAAAAAAAAAAAATTAAACACTGCCTCCTATTATATACAATCAGAGTGTAGCAAAAATGCTAATTACCAAAATAATAACACTTGTACCTGCTATGATTTTTATCAAAACCAGAAATGGCAAATGACCTACATATATTTCTGTTTGGCTTGCAAGCTTTTATTTAAAAAAAAAAAAAAATTGTCACCACTATTGGAAACAGTAGCTTTATCTAAAACTCACAATCTCTTGCTTATCTGAAAACTCACAATATTGGCAAAACTGGGCTCACCTTCCAGCAGGGCAGCTGGGGCTGAGTGTCTGTCACCCCCCTTTAAGTGGCCACGTGCTCTCCAATTTCCCGCTGATAGCACTCCCCTCATTTGTATATGTCCCCTGCCTGGCCCCATGGGCACTAGAGTTTGCAACCCTGACCTCATGCTATATCCATTTTGCATAGCTGGAAAGTCAAATGTGTGTAGAGACAAATGTGAGAAACAGACCCATCTAAATAAAATAACCCTTTAGGTCCTAGATCAAATAAGGCAGCAAAGAAAGCAAATAACGGGGTTCTCACCCAGCCTAAATATAGCCTCCCATGATCACTGAGCTGCCCGAAGATCAATACTTCACACTTCAGATAGGTGTGCATGCCTCCCCTAGTTAAGACAGGAAAAAAGGTTCCCATGAGGAACTACTTAACCTGCCCTTTAAATGGCGGCTCTAATTAAGGCCAAAAAATGGAACAGCCACTCCATCAGCGTGTGGCTTTCCACTGGTCCTGAACAATCTCCACTGGGGTCAGTATCCACGGGGGGCAGTGATAGCCCTGGTGACTAGAAGCTTCTACAGAACCTTTCAGATCAGGAGTGTTTAACCCAGGGTTCTTGCCTAATGGGATTTTTCTAAGCTTCCTCTGCAATGGTGCCTTTTTTCCACTATGCATGTAGGCAACCAATCCCAACTGCATTAGCAGGACCTGCGGCGTTGTCTCTGATTGAAATCTTAGATATTTTCATGCTGCCTTAGAATTGTTGTAGCTATTTTGGAATATCATTGATGTTCATCACTACTCAGAAATCACGGGAGCTAACACACCAGCCACTTGTCATTGAATACCTTAATTTTAAAAAAGCACAGATATTATTATATCTCAAATGTGTTTAAAATATTTTGACAGCTGTATTGAATATAACTGGTTCTTTTCCTATGTATTTTACTTATTTATCTGAAGCCATTCTGAGAGAGGATCCATGGGTTTTGCCAGGGACAGGTCTGGGGCTCAGAGAAGGAGCTTATCAACTCCCATTTTCTATGACTGCTGAGAATGGCAAAAAGGCTCTGAATACCTCATCAGATTTTCACCCTTTTGTGGAAGACTGTGGGTATTTGATAATTTTTACCCTTTGGGGTGGGCCATTGCTGTGTGTTAATGACTGGGCTTTGCAATAAGAAAACCCAACTAGGCTTATTAGCAGAGGTTTTCTGAAGTCAGCTGCACCCAAGCCATCATTTCCCTGTTTGTAAAATAACCCCTACTGCACCAGCTGCCATAAAGTGAGATTCAGATGAAGTCCCTTACGTAAAAATGCTGTGTCACCATAAGCCATTCTGCAAATATTGCTTGCTATTATTACTGTTCTATTTTCCACAGTAAGGTAAACATATTTATTGTAATATTACATAGAACCTAAATAATGCTACAAATTTATTATGGAGAAACCGAATTATTCTGAAAAAGGAGCTATCTTTTTTCTTGCCCTTTTAAAACTCTTTTTTTTTTTTTTTTGAGACAGGGTCTTGCTGTCACCCAGGCTCAAATACAGTGGTGCAATCATAGCTCACTGCAGCCTCCACCTCCTGGGCTCCACTGCATCTCCTGCCTCAGCCTCTTGAGTAGCTAGGCCTACAGGCATACGCCACTGTACCTGGCCTATTTTTTTTTTTTTTTTTTTTTTTAAGTTTTTGTAGAGACTGGGTCTCACTGTGTTGCCCAGGCTTGTCTTGTAGTGCTGACCACAAACAATTCTCCTGCTTCAGCTTCCCAAAGTGCTGGGATTACGGGTACGAGCCACTGCACCTGGTCTAAAATGTAAGCCTGAACAGTTGATTAATTTTGTACATTGGCCTCTACTGCTTATCAACTCCTCCCTGGCTCACTGGAAAGAGGTCAGCTTTAAGATTTACTGTTTTATATTCCCTGCTTGGATGTTGTCAGGGAAGATGCTCAACCCATTGTGGGGAGGTATAAAGAAAGGATCGTGCCCCCTATCAACACAGAGAGATAAACACCAACACAGTAATGAGTAAACTCACGGCCACCTCTGAGCAAAGCAATTCTGTAGACAGGGAGACACTGGCCGTTTTCAGCAAGTCATCATCATCAGACATTTAAAATAGTCCATGCTATGGACTGATTAGCTGACAGAGCTTTTTTGAATCACATTATATTATAAACATTTAATTTTTCAAAGTCCATGCGGAAGCCAGGGAGCTCTGGGGCCTATTAATCAGGGAAGGCAGTTCTGCAGATTGCAGGTTCTTGGATGGAGCACATGGGAGGCCTCATCATGATTTATACGTCCAAAGCCTGCCAGGGCCCCAGCCTCGGCGGGCTCCCAGTCTGGCTTCCTTCGTTCTCCCTCTGCTGGCACAGACCTGGCCTCGGCCGGCAGTCCTTCCTCAACACAGGGAAAGGAACCGATACGTTCAGGGTAAAGGTGGACACAGGGAGTGTGATTTACTTATGAAAAAAAAAACACAGCTGTGCTCATTTCCATGCGTTTAAATGGAAGGATGAGATCAATGTGAACATTAGCAAAGAATATTTAAACAGCAAATGCAAAATCTGCAAGTCAGGAATTGGAGGAAATCTATGCTGGAGGGTTTCTTATCCTAGGTTTATTATTTATTATTTTTATATGCTAATGCTAAGTGGGGGATTTATACATAGTGCCAGTAATTGGCACTATGTGAATGACTTAACATGCATTCTTTTTCTTTTTTTTTTTTTTACTTTTTGAGATGAAGTCTCACTCTTGTCCCGCAGGCTGGAGTGCAATGGCGCCATATCAGACCACTGCCACCTTTGCCTCCCAGATTCAAGCCATACTCCTGCCTCAGCCTCCCAAGGAGCTGGGATCACAGGCGCCTGCCACCACACCTGCCTAATTTTTGTATTTTTAGTAGAGGCCAGGTTTCGCCATATTGGCCAGGCTGATCTCTAACTCCTGACCTCAGGTGATCTGCCCGCCTGAGCCTCCCAAAGTACCGGGATTACAGGCATCAGCCACCGATCTTGGCCTACCCATGCCATTCTACAAAGACCCTGTGAGGTAGGTACTATGGATACTGCTACTTTTTGGATTGGGAAACTCCAGGTTCAAGCAGTTAAGAAACGTTCTCAGTTGCGCAGCTTCTAAGAGGCAGCCAGGACTCAGACCAGAGGTCCTCACTCCAGAATACTTTCCGTGCATGCCAGTTCCCAGGGCCATCTTGTGAAAGCTCAGATTCCTGGATAATGCCCCGTGACCCCAGGTGAGATTCTGATGCAGCTGGTCTGAGAGAGGCCCCTGAATGTGTACTTCTCAAATGAGGCTTCTATGATACCTGCTGCTGCCGCTGGACCACTCACACGCCTTACTGGGTCCCCGAAGTTGTATGCAAAATTCTGGCACTTTGTAGGGAAAATGTCCAAACCTTTATCAGATCCATAACTCAAAAAGGGTTAACCACTGGCCTGGTTACCCTGGTGTGGGTTTGTTATTTTACAGATAAGTTTTCCCTTAGGGAAACCTGAGGACTTGAGAAGTTAAGGACATGATCAAAGAGGACCTCAGGCTGGCAAAGCAGAGTCCAGCACCCTGGTCCCTACTTCCATGCTGGTCTCAGTGCCTGTCATAAAACCAAATCAGCAACTACAACCCATGGCTACGGCCCATGGCTGCCTAAATAATACTGGAACCAGGACCAGGATGAGGTTAGGGCAAGTAACACAGAGAGTATCCTGTTGCTACTTAAAATCAGATATATTCTATTCATGAGATTTTTTACATTAATTTTACTTAAAAAAAAAACTCATTAAAATCTTATGTCTCTTGATCACTCAATTTTTTGGTGCTCCTCAAAATTTTGAGGGAAGGCAAATGTCCCACTTGCTTCACCCTCATTCTGACCCTGGACCTTTCTGCTAGTCCCTAAATCATGGGGACCATATATCTAGATCCCAGGAATCTCAAGGACCCTGCACGCAGGCGGTTGTTTGTGTGGCTTGCAAGTCGGAAGGGTGAGGCATGGTTGTTTTGAGCTGCAGTTTTTGAGAGAACAGCTGACTCAATCATGTTAGAAAGACAGAGAGGAGGCCGGGCGTGGTGGCTCACGCCTGTGATCCAAACACTTTGGAGGCCAAGGCGGGCGGATCCCCTGAGGTCGGGAGTTCAAGACCTGCCTGACCAACATGGTGAAACCCAGTCTTTAAAAAAAGAAAGACAGAGTGGATATTTGACAGCCCAACTTGGAAGTGATTCTGTGATCTGACGCGGCACTAGACAATGACAGAAAGGCCTGAGTACTTGGTTCCCCACAGCTGGAAAATGAAAAAGCAATCAAAAAAATGCCTTGTTTTTTCTCCCCTCTTCTGCCTAAGAAAACCTTCAACCTAAAAGACAGATGTAAATTACTAGGGCTTTCCGCATAGGCTTGAGAAGCCTACGCTGACGCTTTGGCCAGACTTCTTGTATTCTGCCCAAGCACCTGAGCAGGGCGAAGCGGAAAGCGCTCCCCCAGGCCGCAGGACGGGCAGCCAGCCTCACCTTGAAACAGCATCGTCTGGCTGAAGTCACTGCGCATGTCATCGCGGCACACGGCCTGGACTCGGAACAGGTACAGGCTATCAGGTGAGACGTGGCTAATGGTGGCTTTCTGTGGGAAAAGAAGGAAAAGGCAGTGAGTTAGATTTGAAGGTCAGGGCACACTTTGCCTTCTAAAGCTGAACGTGGGTGCCCCAGCGAAGCCTGACAGCCGTGATGCTTCCCTGCTGACCGAAGGCTCACTTTGGAAGGAAGGATTGTTCAAACCTGGCCTGGGAATCTCTTTTTATGAACTTCCCTGTTTCAGCACTAAAATGTGCAGGACACAGGAAAGAATAACATTATTCCTTTTTTTTTTTTTTTTTTTTTTTAATTGAGACAGAGTCTTGCTGTCACCAAGCTTCTGCCTCCCAGGTTCAAGCAATTAGCCTGACTCAACCTCCCAAGTAGGTGGGATTACAGGTGCCCGCCACCAAGCCCAGCTCTTTTTTTTTTTGATATGGAGACTTGTTCCATCGCCCAGGCTAGAGTGCAGTGGCGTGACTTCAGCTCACTGCAACCTCTGCTCCCAGTTCAAGCAATTCTCCCGTCTCAGCCTCCAGAGGAGCTGGGACTATAGGTGTCTGCCACCATGCCCAGCTAATTTTTGTATTTTTAGTAGAGACGCGGTTTCACCTTGTTGGCCAGGCTGGTCTCGAACTCCTGACCTCAGGCGATCCGCCTGCCTCAGCCTCCCAAAGGGTTGAGATTACAGGTATAAGCCACCATACCCGGCCAGGTATGTTTCTTGACAGTTTAAAGGCCTCATTGTCTTTTGATTACGCAGAGTACGGGGCATGGTGCAAGGAAGAACACCAGGCTAGAGGGCAGAGGGCATGGCCTCCTCATACCACTCAGGAGCTGTGTTCTGAGCCAGTTACTTCAGCCTCCGCTATCTTCTGTAAAATGGGAGAGGAAGAGGTATTTTACAGGTTCTTGTGAAAATTATGTAACATAGGCCTGGCAAACCTTGCTCAGAGGTAGACCACACCACGCAACAGAAAGAATGCCACTTGGCTAATGTAGGGGTGTTGGCAAACTGTGGCCCACTGTCTGCTTTTATAAATAAAGTTTTACTGGCACACAGCCATGGCCATTTGCTTATGTAGGTCTATGGCTCCCTCCACTCTATGATGGCAGGTCGAATAGTTACGCCAGAGACTGCATGACCTGTAAAGCCTAAGATATTTACTAACTGGGCCGGGCGCGGTGGCTCAGGCCTGTAATCCCAGCAATCACAAGGTCAAGTGATCGAGACCATTCTGGTCAACATGGTGAAACCCCGTCTCTACTAAAAAATACAAAAAATTAGCTGGGCATGGTGGCGTGTGCCTGTAATCCCAGCTACTCAGGAGGCTGAGGCAGGAGAATTGCCTGAACCCGGGAGGCGGAGGTTGCGGTGAGCTGAGGTCGTGCCATTGCACTCCAGCCTGGGTAATAAGAGCGAAACTCCGTCTCAAAAAAAAAAAAAAAAAAGAAAGATATTTACTAACTGGCCCTGTCCAGAAAACGTTTGCCAACCCCTGGTCGAACATCAGCCAAATCCAGGTCCCTCTTCCTTGCAGTTTCATTCCGACAGCCTTTAAAAATGAGAAAATCAAAACTAACTAAAAAGTAGGCAGCCCGTGCTTGCTGAAGAAATAAACAACAAAAGCAACTGATTTTCAAAGACGTCCTAACGGATGAGTTGTCTTATCATCAAAGCATGTATTCCGGGCCCAGTATAGATGCAGCTCTGTGCGCTTAACCACCGAGTGGGAGTGGGTTTTCCCGACACAGCTACTGAAAACCTCTGAACTGGTATTAAAATGTTATTGTGGCCACACCTGCTGCTGTTGCCTTGAAAGCAGCTTCCTGGTGAGAGGGGTAAGCTAGGGCTGTGTTATTTAACTCTGAGCCCCATTTATCTCGTTTGGAAAAGGTGGGCAGTTACACCTGCCCACAGGTTTGTGGTGAAGATGTGGAAGGGGGACGCCCACTAAAAGATGCTGCTCAAATGATATATACGACTTTCGGGTTTCTGGGCCACAATAACCAAGAGTTAGAGAACAGCTTTTAGTCACTAAGTCAGCACTCTTCACTGGTTGAGGAATTAGAAAAATTAATTTTGTGTGTCCCCAAAGAAAATAACCACTCCTAGAAATTCTTGGAAGAAAGAAGTTGCTGTCAATGCATGTTTTTCTACACATCTCTCTCTTTCTCTGAAACTAATTTATGCTTCATTCTCTAAACCTCTGACCCCATCTTCTGTTCAGAGTGAAATCTTCACTGCATCTATGCGGGAATGTATTAGAATTCACTCCAAGCCGGTATCTATTCATCTTTGCATGTTTAATTATTTTCCACTTAGAACAAGAAACTGCTTAAGCGCCTAGATGGTTTCTGCTGATTAATGCAAGCCATCTACTTGAGAAAGAGAAAAATCCCTTATGGACTTCCAGTTGTGACAAGAGAAAGGTTAAAATACATCATAACCTTGGGTGCCTTTCAATAGATTCCTCTCTGATTTCACGAAGCTCATCATTCCCTAATGTGACCCAGATAACAACGTCTAGTGGGGAAATTGAAAATACAAATGGAAATGAAGTAAAAGAATCTTCATCTAAAGAAATACGAAAAGCATTATTCTATAACTGATTGAATGGGCCCGGAGGACTCCGTACTGGGAGAAAAAAAAGGCGATAACAGCCATTAAGAATTGTACGTGGTGCTACTGCATTTTTCATCTGCATGTACAATTACAGCTTTCATTATTCCAGAGACGTCCTTTGATTAACAATAAACGCAAGGCTTTCTAACCCAAATGTGTCACTTTGAGTTTTTCGGCAAAGACTTAAAGACAGTAGTCGTGGAGAGTTTGCTTTTACGGGGAAGGAGACAGCTTCTGCAATCATCTGCTCTGGAGGGCCTTACTGGGTGTTGCACATGAACGTGTACGTACATTTTAAGAGGAGACGTTGAATTAGACATGTGTAGCTCAAAGTGAGGTCAGATAGTATTTGAGTGTCTGAGAAAAGAGAGAAAATATTACACAGCCGCAGGGGTTCGGGAGGTCTTGGAAATGCATAAGGCAGAACAAATATGACCAAGTGGCAGAGACTGTGGACAGTGGTCGTGGTGACATCAGCAGCGGTAGCTTTCGTAGGGGAAGAGGAGGAGGAGGATTATAATAAATAATAGTTAATACTTATATAGTTATAAAGGACCTGTTGAATATTCGCACAGCTCATTTAGTATTTATGATAATCCCATCAGATGAAAAGGGCGTAATTGAGGCTTTCTGTTTGTTAATAATGAAAGAAAAAGCAGTCAGTTTTAAAGGACCCAATCTAAAGAAATGAACTGGCTCTCTGAGTTGCGTAGCTGTTACGCGGAAGGTCAGGATGGTACCCAGACAGGCTCTGTCTACTGTCCTCCCTGGCACTCTCGAGCAGCCTGGCAAGGGCAGTGCCCATGTTTACCAGACAGGCAGAGAGCTGCAGCAGGCAACCCTCTCTGCAGCATGTATCCTGAATCGGAGTGTGGGGTTCATACCAAGTCTTTGTCGCTGTCCTTTGTAAACGTCTTCTCCTTCTCGTCCTCATTCTTGGTCCAGCTGTAGGAGATCATGTAGTTCATGATGGGTGGGTGGTAGATGGTCTCTGGCTGGCTCCAGGACACCTGCAGTGCCGTCTGGTTCAGAGGCTGCACCTTCATGTGGATGGGTGGAGAGCTGCAAACTGAAGATACATGGGGCTCAGCTCAGGGAGCTGTCAGCGCACTGCACCATTCAATCCGTGCCCCTAGGGGCTGCAACCTCAAAAAGTTTAAAGAGTAATACAGGAGATACCCATACTCCCTTCCCATGGGTCCTTTAATCATTTACCACATTGGTCTCCACCCCCGCACCATCTCCACACACACACACACACACACACACACACGCACACACGGCTGTTTTTCTGCTAGGCCGGTGAAAGCACTTTTCGGCATTCTGACAATTCTCCCGTAGATACCTGTCCTAAGGGATTGAGGACACCCTCCTACGGAACCGTAACACCAGTTTCATATCAAAGAAACAAAACATGAATTCAATACTATTATCTCACATATCGTCCATATTCAAATTTCCCCAGCTGTCGCCAAAAGATCCTCTATCGCCATGTCCCCCTGACTTCAGCCTCATGGTCCCCCGCCTTTTTTTCATGATGGACATTTTGAAGAAGCCACGCAGTTGGACTGGTGGAGTGCCCTAACTAAAATCGTAGACTAAATCGCATTATCAACAGGTCTGAGCGTAAACAAATAAATTTAAAATGAGACCTTAAATAATTTTAAAGCAAAGTCACATAACGCAAGGATGACTCTCTCTGAACAGCAGAACCCCGTGTAATTATCCTGATGTGGGGCTTAAGGAAAAGTCAGGCTCATTCATCTTCTTATTCCTTGGAGCTGAGAGGTGTAAGGGACACGGTGGATCTAAAGCTATTTACAGACAAACCTATGAAAAGTGCTGAGACCTTGACGGGACTAAATGAGTTATACAAACGATCAACCGGTCCGATCCGGTCGGCCGTAAATGTAAATGTGTGCATTCTCAGGGGTGGCCAGGCCGCTGTGTCCGTGCTTCCTGCCTTCGTGGAGCTCTTGGTCCAGAGCAGCAGTTCTCACCCTCAGCACCCATGACCTCTTGAGCCAGACACTGCCTCGCTCTGGGGGGCCATCCCATGCACTGGGTAGCAGCATCCCTGGCTTCCACCCCCCAGATGCCAGTAGCGCCCCCGTCCTGTCCTTGACTTGTGACAACGAAAAATGTCTCCGGGTGTTGGCAAAGGTTGCTTGGAGGGCCAATCACCTTCGGCTGAGAACCCCCACTCTAACAGGGGAGATGGAGACTCACCGAAATCCCCCGCACAGAGCCAAAACTGGGAAGGAAGGTTCACGTCACTGAGCGCTGAGAGCTTATGGAGATGAAGGGGGTGGGAGCTGTAAAGGGACCTTTGGGAAGGCCTGAGGAGCTGGAACAAGCATGGAGAAGACAGGCAGGCAGGGCGCAGGTGTAGCTGCAGTGAGAGGCCTTGGAGCCAGATTCAGACTCTGGCCTTTCTCCACGAGCCCTTGGAGGCCCCTGGAAAGAACTGAGCCCGAGAATGACCAATCAGGTTGGTGCTCTACAAAGATCCCCTGAGCTTCGGCTGAGCCTAGAAGGCCCCAGACAAGCCAATTGTGGAGGAAGGGGCCTGTGAGGAGGGGCTGCGATGGCCAATTGCTGGAAGACCAGGGAGGAAGGGCAGGTTCACAGTTAAGAGGGTAGACACAGAGGCCTGGTGATGTGCCTGGTAAGGAGGGCAGAGGAGAGGGAGAGGCAGTGAGGAGGACCTTCTGGTTTGGGTGCAGGAACCAGGTGAGAAGTAGGTAGGCATGCTGGCAGAGACAGGCCAGGGGACCGCGGCTCGGTTCTGACCGGCTGGTATATTCCAAAGCCCACCCACATGCCCTGCAGCCTGCCAGGAGCCAGACTCCCGTATTTCCTACCCAAGAGCCCCAAACCCAAGGCAGCCGTGGGGAACAGGATGGCTTTCCTGCCAGAGAAGCACGGCCCAGCTTTGGGGACCTGGCTGGCACAGAGTGAATACGTTGGTTTTGACGGGGAGGCCCCATTTGGCTCTTCAACTGCGTTCAGTTGGTGAGGTTCGCTTTGTACGACACAGACAGGAAGGAAGGCATAAATTAAAGAGGCATTCCCACCGCCCCGCAGAACCCCTGGGAGGCATCATGCTGCTGGCCACGCAAATGCCACCAGAGCGGGGACATCAAACCAAGAAGAATCTGAAGGGAGGCTTCCAGAGACACAAGGGCAGAATGCCAGTGTGCAGGCACTAGGTGGCGCCAACCTACTGTTTTTAAATACCCTGGCTTCTAAGTGGCTTCATAGTTTCTCAAGACAGAACATGGAGGCGGCGGGGAGGAAATAGCTACATCCCCAGCTTTCCAAATACTAATAACGAACCGAGGAGATGTACATATTGGGAAGCTTCTGTATCTCATAATGATGACCATGTCAGATTTCCTAACTTCTCTATCTTTTCTCACCTCCCACCATGTTCTTATTTATCTTCCTTATTCTGAAACCATTCATTCCCCTGCTCCAAATAGCAATGACTGCTGTATGGGGAAGCATCCCTCTCCAGCAGTTACATCATGCCCCCATAAATAATTCTGTCACCCACATACAGATGCAACCATTCTTCTTATTTTTTGAAATTAAAATAGCTGGGTTTTACTGTGTGCATTAAGATGATGCATGTCAATATTTTTTAAAAAGGAACCCAAGTAATACTAATACAAAAAAGTGAATTAAAAGAAAGTTAAAAGAAAAAAATCACCCCAAATCTCAGTGCCCAGAGATGGTAACTGTGAACATTCCAGGGTTCCAACATGCAGCTATTTCTTTATACACATGTGAAAGTTCATATACATGATTTGATGGAAATGGAATAGGATGTGGATGGCACTAGAATGTTCTGTTTTGTTTTGGGGTGGGCTCTCGCTGTCACCCAGGCTGGAGTACAGTGGCTGGATCATGGCTCACTATAGCTTCAACCTCCTGAGCTCAAGTGATCCCCCCACCTCAGCCTCCTAAGTAGCTACAACCACAGGTGCATACCACCACACTTGGCTGATTTTTATTTTTTTTTTAAATAGGGTCTCACTATGCTACCCATGGGCGCAAGTGATTGTCCCTCTTCAGATGTGAGCCACCATGCCTGGCCCCAGAATTTTTCAGTGTTGTGTTTTACTCCACACTCACGGATGTATTTCCTCGTCAGTGAGTAGAGCTTATTTTGAATGATGGTACAGAATCCCAGTGTATTAAAAAATACTGAGTTAAGCTCTCAAAGGAGGTAGATCTGGCCTCACTCTAAGGGAATCACCTGCCAGGAAGGGAATTCTGTAACTTAAGGGCCTCCAAAGATGCAGGCTTGTCCCTGATTACACATCAGAGGAGGAGCATGAGGCCAGGACTCTGCAGGCTGAGGAAGCTACAGGAAGAGCAGTCTGATCAGAAATGTCTCTTCTGCATTCTACCCACCATCCTGGGTAATGGCTTTTTCTAGGTATTCTAAAGCCAGATTTGGAGGACGCATTTGCAGAGTACCAGGAGGGCCTAGAACGGGGGTTGGCAAACTTTTTCCTGTAAAGGGCCGGATAGTAAATATTGTTAATTTTGCAAGCCACGTGGTCTCTGGTAGCCACTACTGATTCTGCCTTTGAAGCACAAAGCAGCACAGGTAACGTGTAAACGTGAATGAGTGTGGCTGTTCCCCAACAAAGCTTGCTGGACCCAGGTTCAATTTCATAGGATTTTCATGTGTTGAAAAATATTCTTTTGATTTTTTCCCAACTGTGTAAAAATATAGAAAATATTCTTAGCTCATGGCTACATAAAAGGTGGTGGGGGGTAAGTTTCGGCCCATGGAACAGTGCTGATCCCACACTGAGACACTGAAGAGAGGCCAAGCCCTTGTTGGAAACACAATTATCAACTGCATTGTACTCTTGGCACTGAATTCTGCCCCTCAGCTCAGGCCGACAGGCCTGCTCCTGCTTAGATTCTTCCCAGCACTTACTCGTCCACGGAGTTGTATTATTGACTTCATTGACAATCTGTAATTGTCTATCTCCTCCACTAGATGGAAGCTCCACGAGGCTGGTGCCTTTTCTGTCTGGGCTGGTTCATTGCCCTTGCGTCTAAGACAGTGCCTGGCACGTAGTGGGCTCTCAATCAATATTTGCTGAATAAACAGAGACTTGGTTGTACATAGAATAAAATCCTTAGTCTTTCCCCTGGTCCACAGGTCCTGTGTAACATGATCCCCTTCCACGTCATCAAACTCATGGCTTGTCATCTTCTTCCTCACGGACTCATCTCTGGCCAGCCCCCACCCCAGCCCCCTTAAAGATCCGGCTTCAAGTCTGGACGAGGTGGCTCACGCCTGTAATCCTAACATTCTAAGAGGCCATGGTGGGTGGATTGCTTCAGGCTAGGAGTTTGAGAGCAACCTGGGCCAACAGGTCAAAACCCCAGCTCTACAAAAAATACAAAAATTAGCCGGGTGTGGTGGCGCACACCTGTAGTCCCAGCTCCTCAGGAGGCTGAGGTAGGAGGATCAGTTTAAATGATCCTCCCAGGAACTGGAGGTTACAGTGAGCTTTGATCATGCCACTGTGCTCCAGCCTGGGTGACTAAGACCCTATCTCAAAAAGAAAAGAAAAGAAAAGAAAAGAAAAAAAAAAAATCCAGCTTCAACACCCTGCTTCCCCTCAGGCCAAAGCACCATCCGTGTTCTCCTGCACCCTCGCTGCTTCCTGCCTCACAGTGCCCATCACACTGTCCTCACCAGCTGCCTGCCTCTGCGTCCCTCTGACTGAGCTGCAAGCATCTCCTGGGCAGGGACCAAGCTCCTTATCACTGGTAACCTTGGCAGGGGCTCCCATTTCTCTGATGCAATGGGGGATGCTATTTTGAGTGTCCTCCACTGAGGGGGGAGTCCACGTACAAAATCAGTGCCACACAATTCATTCCTGGGGTCACTGCCAGGAGCCTGAAATTTGTTGAGACTCTTGTCTCTGGTCTTTAACTCATGCCTTCTGCTAATCAGAAAAGCAGTCGGTCTACAGAGGGAGCAAAACCCCCAGATGCTTGGTGGCTAGGGGAAAGATAGTACCAGACACTGTC